GGATTAACAATTATTATTTTTTATACGATATACGAATTTTGTAATATTAAACCATTATTTTGTAAATATATATATACCATACCCTGTAAGGGACGGACCATTTGATTTTTGATGGGGGGGGGGGGGGTAGATTTTCAGTTTGCTCGATATTTTTTTCCGCCTCCTGACACTGTTCGATTTTTTTTTGTCAGTCAGAGGACTTGCACGATATTTTTTGTATGCATGTATATACATAATTTTTTAGTTTTTTGTTTTTACATTTTTTGTTATATAATAGGTAATTGGACAAGTACTGGTGTAAGACATTGTGTAGCCTAAATAATGAGAGGACCAGTATTCAAAAAATGGTTGTTCTCCATTTCTTTACTCCGACTCCTATGATGAACATGTACGTAAAAAAACTAGGGAAACTACGAGGTAAAGTAGGTGAAAGGTGAGGATATAAGAGTGAGAGATTGAAATTGAGTAGGAAAGGCAACCCTACACGCGTTTCGACCAAACAGTCTTCTTCAGCATGGTTTTTTAAGGGGGGTATATAGAATTTGCAGAGGAGAAGAAAGGAGAGTTTAGGGGTTCGGAAAATAATGTGAACTTTGATCCTCTACGTAGCAAAATCCACATCAGAACTAGCTATAGCTATCTATTGGTCATATCGTATCATTCTTTTACTAATCTCTGTTTTGGTTTTGTTATATAATTATGTACATGTTTTAATTATTACACCAGTACTCTTACACCACTGTCACTTACACCACTACGTACTTGTTCATCATAGGAATCGGAGTAAAGAAACTAATAAAGAACAACCATTTTTGGAATGATACTGGTCCTCCATTATTTAGGCTACAGGGCTTTAGGAAGCTCTTTTTGATTTGGGGGGCCGAAAGCGAGGGCCGAAGGCCCGAGGAAATTTTTAAATTTAGAGTCTCTGAAATGCCATTTCCTGGACCTTGCAGCCCCCAGCTAGGGCTACACGCGGCCCTGGGCTACACGCGGAAATGCACCGAATGGCAAATAAGGATTACCACTCGAAAGTCTTGCTCGATATTTTTTTTCGTCCGTTTATTCTTGCACGATATTTTTTTAAAGTTCGAATTGCTTGCCCGATATTTTTTGAGGGATTCTACCCACCCCCCATCAAAAATCAAATGGTCCGTCCCTAAATTAATTTAGATTGCTCTGAAGATGTTGTATTGTAAACAACGAAACGTTAGCTAATAAATTTTTACTTTTAAAGTTATGTTTGGTTTTAAAGTTATTTTCGGAGTGTCTATTGTTTTGTTCTTTTTATGTCTGTACTCGCCCCACAAGCCCTTACGTTGTAAAAGGCTTAAGTATTTTTTTATAATAATCCACCAAAGTATTTTGTTTTTAACCTTCTTTGTTCAGAGAAAGGGCGGCAAAACCTTTCAATTCCGACAGACAGAATGTCTGTACTCCCCCACAAGCTTGCAATAATAGTTAGTTATAGCTACGTGCAGTATTGAAATTCTTCAGAGAGATATCGTGTTCTATTTTGGTCTACAATTTGCGAGGCGCCCAACAAGATTCCAGAATATATATCATGTAGTTAAATGTTTCTCAACGAAAATCTGCCATCTTTGTCCTCTTGTCGACCGTTGCAAAGTTTTTGGCCGATAAACTTTTACTGTATAAGAAAAATGACGGTTACGATTTTCACGAAGAAAATACGGGCGATTAACGGTGAAGGAGACAAAAATAGGACGGTTTGCGGAGCGACTAACCTATACGATATATTGTGTTTGACCAAAGACCCATATAATAATTGCAGCAAAGCTAATCACGAACACTGGGGAAAAAGTGTGAAAATCCTACTAGTTAGTATATCCATACTATTTCGATTCTTTTCCATAGGCATATATAGTATGAAAATATACAAATATTATGGTTAATCAAAAGTCCATTCTATTTCCAATAAAAGTCCATAGAATTTCCATTCCATGGATTTTCAAAATTTTTTCCAGTGGAAGTTGGAAATAATAATTAAATAAATATCGTATACTAGTTTAAAATAATATTTTTTTAAAACTTGGCAACAGTATCAACTACAGCCAAGGATACCATCACTTTCGGATTTATCTTTAAACCATCCTATTTAGCCGTTTTTACCTCCAGACATTAATAATATTGAAGTAATATTATCAGTACACAAAAAGGAATTGATTTGCTAGTTTTTATTTTGACTGGTCTGGTGGATTTGCATCGATTGGATCGGTTTGAATCCATTCCTCTGTGACTTTCTCATACAGAATGACGTCAAACGTAGACATGAAACAAATGTGATGTTTGGAAAGGTTACCGACGGTTTGCAATGCAATCATGTTACATGAAATTTGATTGGCTAGACAACGATTTGAACTGCGAAAATAATCCCATATCACTGGGAAAACGGAAGCCGATTCGTGTTCGACGTCATCATGCTGCGTCAAGCCTGCGCAAGACCCGCCTTTAATACTAGCGAGCAAAATCCGTAAACCAGCAAATTAAAAAAAGCGTGGCCTAAAAACCGTGAATTTCTATACGTTCTATCCCAGTAATGTCTATATAACAAAACTATACATAGTAATTTAAGCATTTTTTATTTTCAGTGTTGGTCCTACTTAATTCTTACACAATCTCACGGATTTTTTTAGCTCTAAAACTAAGTGCATACCGCAAGCCTAAAGTCCCTATCACTATATAAGTGTAAACATTTAAACTAGAGTATGTTTTTTATATTCATTTATTTTATAAGTATATTCATGCAGCTGCAGTCATCTGAATTTATCAAACGGAGTTGCCTTGGAGAGATTTAATTAACCTCACCTATAACTTTTTTGTAACTTGATAACTATGAACTAAAGGATAAGACTAGTAGACTATAATATGCACATGGATAGATATTGACCGATCTCAGTTTTAATCAAATTACAAGACCATTTTTGTATTGGTCCTAATTATCTGACACAATCTCACGGATTTTTAGCTCTAAGTGAACTGCAAGCCTAAAGTATATCAAGTATAAAAGTTAAATTAGAATATATTTCTTACATTCTGACGAAGTATATTAAGCCGCAGTTTCTGAGTATCAAACGGAGTTGTCTTAGAAAGATCTAAATTTCATGCATTCATGAAAAATTCAAACACTGTGTTTGTACAAGGACCTATAGTGTAATATTGCCGTATACCTGAGCACGAAGTCGAAAATATGGTATACAGAGCCTCGAGAAAATATGAAAGTTAGGTAATTTTCATTGAAAATAGAAAATATGCAATACTAGGAACCATGTTATGACTAAACTCTAAAGCTTCAATATGACACTAAGCGCTACAGTAACTTAATTAAAAGTGCAAATAATTGTACTTTACTTCGGCAAAACTCTGATGGATTTCACTTCTGATTATAGCAAATAGAGCGGAAATTAAATACAGCTGTAAAGGCTGTACAAAAAAATGTCGTACATGTCAGTCTTGGGAATTACTTTGTAAACGTGATAAAAACAAGCCTCGTCCTCGATCATGATCGTCCTCGATCACTTATAATATGAAGCAGTTTATGATGTAAACCACTGTATTACTTCCTACATCTGACATACATGTATAAATAGTAAAATTGACTGAGGGCTGTAAGAATGCTTACAAACAACTAATAGAAGGAGTCGGTAAAATTTACTGAAACTTGGTGTAGAACATTAAAATCACGATCGCGCCAATTACACTTCAGCAAAAAGCGAGGGACAAATGGGCATCTTCTAGAGTGTTACAAAACCAAGCGTGAATGAAATTCATTCCAATGTGCAATTATTAGTGTTGTTTTGCTGGGAATGATCACGGTAAGCTTGGAATGCAGAAAAAGTCCTTCTTTATCTTGCGAATTGTTCCACATTTTCCCGGTATTAAATAATTTTGACAGAATAGGAAGCAATGAACTTTATACAGATATTTGCATACTGGTCTCAAGAGCCAAATATCAAATTTCGATGAAATGCAAGTCATCGTGTGTTAAAAAGGAATAGAACTCAGTCAGTAAGAAATCTGAAACGGCGACAGAAAACGGGTGGATTTTCTCCCATGTTGGCTTGCGTACTGCAGTTTTGTGACGTATGTGAACGTTGATTAATTAACGCGTGGGCGTATTTAAGCATGGTATTAAAGGACATTGGCACCCAAAATTTTTATTACTTATATCTCTTTGGTATACTTGCGGAATATCTAATTTTATATTTTGGCCGGTTTGTCGCGTTTAGTTGTTGAGAAAATTTGATAGAAAGTTCAACAGTTGTCCGCCATTTTGAAAATAAGCGCGTATGCTAATTTATGCCTCAAAATACATTATCTGACGTCATTGGCTGGGTAAAAACAATTTCATGACTATAAACAATACCGAGTATTGCCACGCGTAGTGCATTTGAACCAAAACAAAAGGCAGCAAAGTTTTACCAAGTATGTAATTTGTTTGTAACACTATTTCTCACAGTATATATCCTACTCCGTGTTAAATAAAAGCAGAAATTCGAGTGCAAAAAGACAAATACTAATGCAATATTTTATGATCAATTACCTGTATTGTAAATTGCGCCATTCCTTGCTTTTCCAGTCGCTCGATATGTTTTTATCTGATAGTGTAGACTTATCTTGTTTGATTACGAAGAGTGTTGGCCAGTATAACGCTCAAAACGACATATTTTTAGCTAACATAACACGCACGCAATAGAATTCTCTCTTGTAGTTTTAGCGCTACCCATCCAATGACGTCACAAAGTTCATTGACCTTCGAGATAATTTGTCAGAAAATATTTCCAAGATGGCGGCGAAACACAAAGTTTGCATGCATTTTACTCGTAGACTAAAATGTTTGAGAACGAAATGATAATATTTTCATAGTTAGGTCGTCAAGTAGGATCGAAATAGCCAATAAAAATTTTCGGTGCCATTGTCCTTTAAGTTAAGGCATTCATTAAAATCTAGCAATCGCCGAGGGCTGGTTCAGTATACGTTTGATAGCACCACAGGTCACACTGTTTGGGGACAAGAAGGAAAACAATCTATACTTTAATATGGATGAAGGTAAGTTGAACTATTCTTTAATTTTGTTTGAAAGTGAGTTCATATAGTAACTTCGTTTATCTTCCACTATATGTGTCATATACGTAATTTACGAAAATACGACATGTACAGATATCATATAAATCACACCCTACTATCTGGTGCTGTTGGACACATTTCCCCTTGCAGGTGTAAGGACTGATCAACACTCTACGATTCCTTCTAGCTGAAGTTGTATACCGTATACGCCGGTAACATATAATATATATGTTGTCGTATCAGATGGACGAATTTACATTCACATATAAGTGTTGGGATTAGCATTAATTTACCTCGACTATACCCTCGATAGTATGCATAAAATAATAATTAACTGATCTACTCAACCAAGAAATAGCGAAATCCAATTTTCATACTATAACTGCCATTTTAATACAATGTGTATATATATATATATATATATATATATATATATATATATATATATATATATATATATATATATATATATAGTATGGTATATCTATATAGTATGGATACACTATAGATTTAGTGATGCAATTGCAAATTCCACAGTATGGATTTTATTATTTTTTCCCAGTGGGAGACTGTGCAACTATGCCTATAGTTTTGGATTTCTGTAGGCAAAAGACAGATTTTCATTAAAGACATTCAACAAAACAAACCACTAGCCTGCGTGGCAGGCCCTCAACTTTATGGGGGAAATTAGGCCCTCCATAAAATTGAGGGCCTGCCACGCAGGCTAACAAACCACCAGTAATTAAAACATTGAGTCAGCAATCATGCAGGCATTTTCTGGCACTGTACGTATACAACATTTTCATTGGATAGATTTCATGGGAAAACACCAGGGCATCCTTTATCATATACACCATGGGAAGCAAGTCCCCTTTCCCCCCTCCCCAATGTTAGCCCCTCCAATGAACTGTGTTACCCCCCCCCCTCCTACTCGAGTAAAGAGGTGTCTTAAAATGCTGACTGAAATCAATCCCAGAGGTTACAAATATCTACATTCCCTACCAGTTCCCACTTTTCTATTACCACCCTCCAGTTAGGTCCTTTCCCTTGATATGCACCTTCACTCACAAATTCTTAAAAGATAAATTTATTAAAACATGTGTCCAATATATAACCATCCCATGCACTTCCAGCTAACTGCATGCAGACATCACACGATGCATAAACCATTCAAATTTTTACTGTGATTTCCTTCCTGAGAACCTAAAGGATAATATTATTGCCCAAAATAATCTGAGAATAATTTATAGATATCGCTGAATTTGAAAACGTTCAGACTCATTTGCATTTACACCATGTCTAGTATCTATAACATTAGTGTCTTTAAATTTGCATTGTAAAAAATTGATTAAGTTAAATTAAAGCAACCTATAATGTTGACATTAATATAAGCAGATACTTTCGGGACCTCGCCAATGTGTCCGCTTAATAAAAGGGGTGTCCACTTAATTAACAGGGGTTTACAAAAGCTAACACAGCACGGGATATTACACCCAACTAATTTAGGAACGGTAGTAGTGAAAGGTAAACGTGTCAACAGAGGGGCTGGTTGTGGTGTGAACTTCCCTACGAGTTCAAATTTAGAGATGAAAGTTTTTCTTACAATTGCTTGAAAGACAAATTAAAGAACGAAAAGTTGTTTTAGGAGTTTAGTTATTATACTACATAGAAATACTGCAAAACATTATTGACAAATAAATTGTAATGTACGTGGTTTTCGACCCGGATTTTTAGGGCGGCGCAGCGCAGGGCGGCGCATCATTAAAAATTCAGGGCGGCGCAGGGTTAAAAATTCAGGACGGCGCATCATTAAAAATCCAGGGCGGCGCATCATTAAAAATTCGGGTCGGTGCAGCGTTAAAAATTCTGGGCGGGGCATCATTAAAAATTCAGGGCAGCGCATCATTAAAAATTCAGGGTTGTGCAGGGCGGCGCATCATGATTTGCATAGAATGAGGTGGCGCATCAGATCCAGATTCTACGTTTGTCGATTCATTGATGGAACTACATCAGAACACTGAGAACCACTAACTACAATATATACTGAACTATTTGTTTCATTGGATATTAGAAGATCCGCTCGAGTCAGCAGCTGAAGCGTTTTTCTCTTGTCCCCCGAGTTACATGTATTCTGTGAAGGCGACGGGTGAACGATTTAAAAGTTTTGAGACCGATCATGGAATTGCTTATCAAGGATTCTTGGAGAAAAACTTGTAGAACAGTTTAACAAACAGTCTTGTTGTAATATTTTTCGACACTATCGTATGTTATTTGTATCAATAAACATGTTTTAAACTTTACAAATGTTGCGTTGTTATGTGTTGCTAAGTCATTAGGTGGCGTGTAGGTAATTAATGGATTAGGCGAACAAAAAATTTTAAGTGTATCCCAATGGATAGATAGGGATGATTTATAACGCAGGTGCATGCCTTAAAATCGGGCGCGAGGCTTTGCGGACAAAAATTTACACAAGCATTTAGATTTAAAACATATTTATTTCTTCAAAACGTTTTATAAAATTTAGTAAGGTCTACTTCTAATAGCGTAACGTCTAGATGTTTTTGTTATTTTTAAAGAGTCCTCATATTCTTGTCTATCTTCTGGCGATAACTTTACAAGTTTCTCGGGCTTCATTGGAATATATTTTTATCTGACGCTCAATATTAAACGTTCATAATTCACTCTTGCTTCCGGAGTCATTCGTGCTAAGTCACGTTCGGTCCAATCTGCTGTGTCGACCCAATTGTGGAAAAAGTTGCGCTTGAGTTTTGGTCGTTCCTCTTCTGTTGGTGGCGGTGTAGGGAAATTAAGTTTAGGAGTAGCAGGTACTGGTGGTGTTCTCTCAACAGATTCATTGGGTTGTGGCATCTCTACAGGCGTTTCTGGGATACTTTGAGTAGAGGTTTCAGGAATTCCAGGAGTAGAATGAGCCATCTTATTTTTGAAAGTCAGAAACCGATTTAGTTGATCAGAGTAAAGCTTGCTTTTTTCCACCACAGAAAGTCGTGGCGTTTCCATAATTTCTTGCATTCGCTGTTCGGTATCATACATTGCATTTACAAGTGGTGGCTGTCGATATGACTGTTTTTGTAAAAACTTTTCAATCTCGCCGGGGAGTACGTTGGTCTTAATTAAGTCGTTGGTGATCATCTGTTTTTGGCTTTAAATCCGACATCAAATACCCATGAGGTCGGCTCGTCGTAAATTCTTGCACTTCACCAGGATTTATTTGCCCTGCAAGCATAGAAATTTGCTGTTTATCTCTTGGTGGCTTGAACAGCACGATATAATGGGCGTTAAGGCTGATATTTCTCATTTCTTTGCCCTGATGAAATATATTTTGGACAATATAGATGATAGAAAAATTTCGGTGATGACTTCCTTTCGTAAAAAGATTACTAGATTGTGCCATGAGATCATCCAGTACGATCAAATTCCGTTGAGATATGTCCAAGTAATCCACTTTTTCGACATCTTCGGGAATGCCTTCATTGAACTCGATTCCAGGAATCGCTCTCAACATATCAAAATAAGATGGTTGCCATTGACCATAACAAACACCAGATGATACGTTGAGGATGTTGACTCTGTGCATTCTCCAGGGGAGTTTTCACCCACACAGTCTTACCGCTTTGTGTACACCCGGCTATGATGCAAGTAAATGGGTGCTGTATGACTGTAAATCCACTCACCGTAAAAGTTTGTTGCCCCAGATTACGATTTCCATATGCATGGACAACCTTCTTGTGGCGAAGGAGATTACTCGCATTTGCAAACGTTTTACGGCAGACGTCGCATTCATAAGACATGTTCACTTCTCAACAGTCAGAGTAGAAAGATTTAAAGCAAGGGTGATGAGGTATATTTATTCCGTTTGCTATATTATGGGTCATGAATATTAAGATTAAAATTCTAACTATTAAGACTATAGTCATGACTATCAAGATTATAGTCATGACTATTAAGACTATAGTCATGACTATTAAGACTATAGTCATGACTATCAAGACTATAGTAATGACTATCAAGATTATACCCATGACTAACCAGACTATAATCATGACTATTAAGACTATAGTCATGACTATCAAGACTATAGTCGTGACTATTAAGACTATAGTCATTACAAAAGCTATGAAAAAAGGCGAAATAACCTTGGCCATATTTGCGGATTACTCCAAAGCATTCGACACGGTTGACTTTGAAATACTTATCAGCAAATTGTATAAGTTGAACTTTTCCAAGTCATTCCTACACTGATTGGTAAGTTATTTGACAAACAGACAGCAATACGTGCAAGTAAATGATAAATCTTCCACTAAAATCACCACAACGTTTGGTGTGCCACAGGGATCTATATTGGGCCCAGTACTCTTCAACTTGTACGTCGCCGATATGCAACGTAAT